GGAGAAAAAGGAAAGAAAAAGAAGAAGAGGAGAAAAAAAAAATTCACGATATACGATGCCTCGCGTTCGGTACAAAAATCACAGCCGGATACCGATAATAAGCGGCCTCCACGCAATGTTATACTACGCACAAAATATCACGCATTTGTCGCAGGAATTCGATCGTAAATCATAGACGCGCTAACGGTCGGTCGAGCGATCGTCGAAGCAGCACCGCATCTACAATCGGATGGACGGGGAGGGTGGAACGGAAGAGAGAGAGGGGGGGGGGGAGATACAATAAGAGTCGCGAGAGACCGGACGCGCGCGCGGCATACTGCGCGGATCCGGTTCGTTTTTCCACGGCGCAACCGCGGTTTCTGCGAAATGGAGCCGAGCCGCCGCGCGCTGGTCACGCCTGAGCTGCCTAACGGAGGTACAGAGATATTGCGTTAATGCGTTCCACGTGGGGTCACCCCGGTAGCCGGTGCACCGGCGAGTACTACCGTATCCGCTTCGCGCGCGCAATAGAACCGCGCTCGCACGAACGCACGCTCGCACTCACGCTCACGCACGCTCGCATGCACGCTCGCTCACGCCAGTCGCAGTGCCTCTCATTATGAGTCTTACCGCGCCCACGTAGCGGTATCGCGAGGAATACACTATGTGTATTCTTCCGACATGCTTCACCGAGTGTAATGGCATATTTGTACACTGAGAAAAAAATATAGTTAATTTTAATAAATATTTAGTTCAATACTGCCAACTAAACATTTATTTATAGTAAGTAAATATTTTGTTCAATAAAAAAAATTGATTGATTAAATCAAATTAACATTTCTTGTATCAAATAAATATATCTTTATATTTAATAAATATTTAGTTGGCAGTATTCAATTAAATATTTATTAAAATTGACTATTTTTTTTCAGCGTATGTATACGTATTGTATCTAAAAAATAAATCCTATTCCTCCCTCTCCAATCTTGGGAAATTCCAACTGATGAGCGTATAAACTTTGGATGTTGTTAAAGATTGACGAATATTATTTTGTAAACGGGGATTAAGAAGAGAATTATGTTAATCTATGAATTATTACTGAGTTTTCTTCGTTAAACGTCGCTAATATCATATCGATTTTATTAAAAAATTATTATCGCTAATTTATTATCAGAAATCATCGAATTTATGGTAAATATTATTTATGAAATAATAAATTATTACTGCATGTTAGTAAAGAATATACTATTGCACAAGTAAATAGTGTAAAATAATTATATTAATTGTTGAAAATTTTTGTTCTTTAATAATTTGTTCTTCTTGTGTTAAGCGACATTTATAGCGCGGTATATATTTGCACTGCAATTTCGTGAGTGTGCAAAAATGGACGCGATAGAATGGCACCGCGTAATTCGAGTCGGCTCCGGCGAGAAAATTGACGGATCGCGCATCGTATACGACATCGTGTGACGTCAACGACACGAGAAGCATTTCCCTCTGTTAACCCACTCGTTAACCCGTCCGCTTATCGACTTTCAATTTTACCGTCTCAAGTCTGTGGCGAGACATTTCTTGGCCCCTCTTCATAAATTCACTGTATTTGACACGGCAACATCGGATATTGATGACGCGACATGTAGTATATTGTTCTAAAAAATTTCTATTCATTATATCGATTCATTTTATATTATCCAATCAATTGTATTATCACTATTATATTAATTTCATAAAATAATTTCGTCATTAACTTCTACAATATAACGCACTTTAAATTAAAGGGAGATTTTAATAATCTCTGTATTTTTATTAACTTTAATAAAACTAAAAAAAAGTTAAACAGTTACTGCATTTAAAAATAGCTACATCTTTGTTTAAAAAAGAGAGAAACAAATTATTCATATTTCAAGAATTTATACTTATCAAAATTTTGATGCCATTGGCATTATTTTTGTCAATTTAAACAAGATTTGCAAACAAAAATGATAAATGATGATTAAAAAAAAAAGACTATGAGGCGATAAATACATTAAAATACAATTTGGATTATCAAATTATTTGTCACTTTCTACCATTAATCATTTTTCGAGAAATATAAACTTTCAAATATCGAGTAGAACTTGCTCGGCGTTGTCACCTTCCTGAATTTTCTATCGCGGGAGGCGAGACTTTCCGAAGGTGGAAGGCGAAACAGGGTTAAAGGTGGCGGTGGTTGGATTCTCCGGTGACGGAGCCGGCGTTCTACCAACGCGCGCTCGAATTGGGATGCAACGCGTGACGAGGTGAAGCTTTTCCCTCCCTTCGTACCGTCATCTATCTCGTCAGCGCAAAGGGTAAGAGAGAGAAAGAGAGAGAGGGGGGGGGAGGGGAGAAGGAGAGAAAGAGAGAGAAGAAAGATCGTGCTCATGCGCACCGCGTAAATGGGGCAAGCCACTCGATCGTCCACTTTAGGAACGGGGTCACGAAAATTAAATTTTCTGATTAACGACACACGCGCGCATCGGCGTTCTCGTTGGTCGCGACGTGTTTCACGATTCTTCTTTCTTTTTAATAGCCCGCGTATCTTTATCCAGCATCGTCGCTTAGGATGTCGCGTTCGCTGGGATATAAAGCGCTTTTATATACCGCGCGTACGGATTCGATCAGATTTCTGAGCGTCTTTAAAGCGGTGCCTTCAGATCGGCACGTCTAAATGCTCGCTTTTATCAATGCAGTTTACTTCTAATCCTGTTTAAACTACAGATCCTATAACAAAATCTGGCCACGAGAAATTTTGTCACAAAATAAAATGGAAAAAGAAGAGTATATATATATATATATATATATATATACTTCTTTTTATATATGCTATCTCATTTGAATTTTTATATTATCTTATTCATTCTAATTTATTGAAGTTGACAAAAATGACGGGTCAATAAAAAAATTTCTATCATCTTGTGACCAGACTCTGTTATAGGATTTCTGTTATAGGATTTCTACTTTTTAAAATCTTTGAAGTGAAACCTAATTCTAAAGACTGAAATTTCAATCTCAAAACTTGACAATCGAGCCACTCCTTCATCCTGTCACAATTGTCACTCTTTGTCACTCTTTAAAATTAGATTCTACTCGAAAGATTTTAAAGAGTAGATCTAACTAACTCTTTATCTCTAGCTCTAAGAATTAGAAAAAGATAAAGAGCAAATTGAGCCGAGATGATTGAAGTTAATCTACATTGGTAGAAATGGGCATAAATTGTCGATGTCGAAACATTCGTCGGCGGGAACTGTATCACCTAACGAAATTAGATTGCGCTCGGATTCTGTGACTCGAATCTGTTGAACGAGCGTGTATACAACTTCACTCCGGAGAAGCCGGGCGTCGTGCGATTTACAGGCGGTTAGCGTGCGCGCAAGCGCGTTGTGTCTGCGTCTTTCATGCTAGCGAGAGTCCCGGGATATGACGCCATATCTCGTACGCGCTGCACGAGTACGCCCGATATTACGCCTTCGATTCGTTAATCTTCTTAAGGATCGTTAACCCGCTACGCGCCAAGAATACCCAAATCACGTCGACGCGATGTCTATAACCGACGCCGTGAGACGCCGCGTGAAGTCGCGCGAAGTCGCGAGGCTTTTACTTTCGAATTAGTGCTTTCCCGGCGAATGAAAACGTTGTTTTATTATCGCCAAGTTTGTTTTGTATTATCCGCGACTTTCGATTCTCTCATCGACGCTCGAACTACGCAGCTTTCAATTTTTAACATAGACGTAATAGATATATAGACTCTGAATATTTCTTGAACTTTGCATTTGGAGATCGATTGTACATCTTGAAATGAAGTGAAAATTATAAAAGTAAGCAAAATTTATTAGAATCACAGTTATTACACAACCCTTATCCTAAAATTCTATAACTTTTTTCCTAATTTCTAGACAAAATTTTACCTAATTTTTTTTCAACAATTTTTTGAAATTTTTTATATTTTCGTGGTGAATTATCGTGGTTTGGAAATTGTTTAATATTTTGTTGAGAGATTTACATAGCAATGTAAATTATATTAATGTTGCTTGCATTTTTAATTGTTAAGTTGATAATATTGAAAATTATAGGTGTGACGTATATAACTTCTTTAAAGCCAAGAATTTTAATTTTCCAAGAAATCTTGTCAAATTTCCTGACTTTTCTCTGAAACCAGTTTTGAAAATCTTATAGAATACTTATGACTTCATGGTCATTATGACTTCATTGGTCAATACCTAATAAACTTGTTCATTTTTGTAATCTCGTTTCAGGATACACAATTGTATCAGGATACACAATCCCTGTGCTTCATTAAAAATTGAAGCGTCTTTCAGTTTAACTATTTTAGAAAGAAAGAAAACGATATAAATCAAGTTACTTCACTCTTTTCAAATAGAGACAACTTCATAGAAATGCGCAGTCTATTCTTATTACGTCCACGTAATAAGAATTATGGTTTTTAAGAACGTCGCGTGTCATGTGGATTGAAGTTAGCATAACTAAGAGAAAACCAGTATTTTTCATCGAGAAAATTGGCGCTCATACGATTTCACTGTCTCTCAAGATGTCTATAAATCTTTGGCACATACCGTGAAGTCTTTCAACACTCAATTTATGATACATCTACGATAACGAAATGATCTCGTGAACAATATTTATTTCATCATTGATTCGGTACACATGTGTAGTCTCTAAATTTTTTCAAGTAGAATTTCACATTCTAAAGAGTCAAAATTGAGTCAGTCTTAAAAAACATTGGCTCAATTCTCAATCTTCAAAATAAGATTCACTCCAAAAGTTTCAGAAGGTATGTATTATATATATACATATATATGCAAATCTAATTGAATTTGCATTTAGAATATCAATTTAAAGGCATACAGTTTCATGCGAGTAACACCAATAAAGTTTGACCACTTGTCACACGTGCGCACACACACACACACACACACACACACACACGCGCGCGCGCAGATACGTACGCATGTACGCAGAATGTAAGTTGTCGACGGACTCACCTCTTGCCCGTTCGGGGCAATGACCACGTCTACCTCGTCGAGATGCTGGCGATGCTCCGTGACCTCCGCGTGAATCTCCCTACCGTTGTACGTTAGATAAACCTTCTGACCGGGTACCAATCGCGCGCCAGTGACGGAACCGAAGCCCGGTCCGATGAGATCGCGATCGGTGTACTCCTTCGGACTCGGCGGACTGCCGCCGATGATGTCGAAACGTACGGAATACAAAGTCTTGCTCGTGCCCGTGACGCTCTTCTGCCCCGGTGACTCGGCGGTCTGCGGCGTCTTCACGGCGCAAATGGCGCCGCTGTAGTACTTGCCGTCCTGACCGGGAGCGCACACCCTGGTGCCGATTATGCTGCGCTTTGCTAGCCTCTTGCCCGTCGACATTATTTGTTGCTTCTACCAGGCGACGCGATATCACTCGGTTTCGCGCAAATCAGAACAATTCCTGTCCCTCACTCTCTCTCTCTCTTTCTCTCTTTCTCTCTCTCTCTCTCTCTCTCTCGCTCTCTCTCTCTCTCCTTCTTCTTCTTCTTCTTCTTCTTCTTCGTAGCGAAGGATCATTCGATCATTCTCATCGATCGTTTTCGAGCGCGGAGTCCCGTTGTGCGAGGCACTCGTTGAACGCGCAACGCGACGCGAAACATTCACACGACCAACTTTACACTTTACACTTCTGTCCTTGACGTACTTGCTCCTGTCCACTCGACACACTCGTTTCCACTGTCCCTGTCCTGCGACACGTTTTCAAACGTTCTATCTCTCCCTCTCTCGATTCGACAGTGTTCGAAGAGAGACGAATTGATGGAAGGTTGCCGAAGTGCACAGCGAACGCGATTCACAAAGTCATGCAGGAATACACGTTTAAAAGTTTAAAATTCCAAACGCGAGGTAAACGACTGACGCGCACTCCCGAAAGATGATCCTTTTGAACTCGAGCACGCCGCCGCACGAGCGAATTCCTAAGAAGGCTCGCTTTCTTTTTGTCTCGCTTTAGGTCATCGTAACGACCAGCAGCTCCTCGTCACGTACCAATCACGCCGTTGTATACCTGCCACCGACGATGGTGGCAGTGTGTTTAAAAGTCGCAGGGGAGGGGGAATAGGGCAATAGGGTGATCCCTGTACGACGAGGATCTTTAAGCGCGCGGCGGCCTCCGTGGCCTGAACACAGAACTCAGCGTATCAACAAAGCGGCGTGCACCGTCGCCCGCGTTCGTCACGCCGTCCGCATATTCGAGGCACTTCGTGATCGATTCGTGGCGATGCGTTGGCGTGCACACGACTGACAGCATAATAATACGTGGCTAACGCGCACCGACGTTAGACGGGGGTCCGATGGTAGACGGCGTCCTAGCCGGATCGTTAGACTCGTACGTTTAATAGCGATCCGCACAGGAGAAGGACTCGCGGCGCCCGACATGTGACGCACAGCTGAGCGACCGGGAGGGACTGAGGACAGACTGCCAAGCGGCTTTCACTGCGCCGGCCGGCCGTCCGGGAAAAACAGCTGATAGATAACAACAAACCCACGTGACCCGGCCTCGAGCGCCGATTGGCCGTTCGCGCTGACCTACTTACTCCGATTGGCCCGCCGTCCGGACAACGAGACGAACGGGAAAAAGTCGCAGGCTTAGAAGCCTAGGCAAAGAGCGCCTGCTCGCTCAGACTCTCCACTTCACCACGCTTCTCTCCCCCCCCCCACCCCTCTTCATTCTCTCACTCTCTCTCTCTCTTTCTCTCTCCCGGCGCAATTTCCCCTCTCTCGTCCCTCCGTACTTCACCAAACTCCATACTTCGGGCTTGCGTACTCGGCGTTCCCGGTGTTTCTGCGAAGCGACGGACGCCGACTTGACACGCCCGCGTATCTCTCGAGAATACGCTCTCACGATCGCTTTCTTCATCGGGCCGGTTTGGACGAGGCAACGATAGAGGATGAACTGCATGGACGGTTCTATTAATCTTAATCCGTCATGGCGGCGATCAGCTGTTGCCGACGCTACGCACGCCCTACGGACGGTTGTTTTTCGCCGTCAGCTGAGAAGCCCGGTGACGAAACCGACGCGAACGACCGATCGCCGTTGCGCGGGGCAAAGTTTCGCTCCGCGAGATGTTCCCACCAACATGCCGCCCACCCCTCCACTCTCTCATCCCGGCAATACCATACTGCGTCGTATTCTCCGTGAAATACATCATATTTCGGTGAGAGTTCGCTACGAGGAATTACCTGCACGCGCATCGAGCGCCGAAACGATCTCGGCTGCGCTCCGCGTCGCGTTTTCGCAGAGCGGAGCCGAGCTTTCCACTTCAGCTGTCAGTGCTGTTCGGCCATTTTGCGTCAGCTGAGTCGCCCGGTGACGACACACAGCGAGTGGAGGGTCTGCGCGCGTCGAGGAACGCCGGCGTCCGATCCACAAAGTGGAGCATGTCGTTTTGCCAGCGATAGACATTTTCAAAGCTCGCCTTTAAGCTCACAACGGCAGCGGAGTACAAAAGGATACGAGCATTATTGTCCTAACGGTGTAACTGCATGTCCTATTCTTGTCGTTTGTAAAGAGCAACGCGTATCGAGTAGATAATAACTTCGACGTCGATGTTACGGCCGAATCCGTATACGAGTTGCATTGCAGGCCGGTTGCATTCGTGATGGCGCATGCGAAGAAAGCCGAAGACGCGCGTCAGCTGAGGGCGCCAGCGATGAAACGCGGAAGAGTGGATGGTCTACGAGAGCTCGGCGATGACGCTTGACGCTCCGGGTTCCGTTCCCGGCGTCCGATGCGTAATAGACGCGCTTTTTCCTCGACACCGATGCTCGACGGACGAACGTTCGTCGAGCGTGACGCAGGATTACGATTCGTTAATTGTCGCAGGTCGATCCGAGGTCATCCGAGGTCTCTCTCGGATCGGCCCGGCCGGCGTTGATTCTCGCAAAGGTGCACGATCGTCGCTTTGCCGAACGCGATCGTCATGGCGGCGCTCGGAGGACGCGCGATGAAAATGGCCGGAAGATGTTACGAGGGGGACGGTCGGACGTAAAGGAGGAGGGGAGAGGAGAAGGCGGACCGGTGAAATAGAAGGCAACGGTCCACGGCGTTCCCAGCAGCCTATCCTAGATTTATTTCCGTGGACGTTGCGCAATATGCGCGCCTCGTTGATCAGCTCGGTAATCGCTGACCCTTATTATAAGTACAGAGGAAGGATAATGAGCGATCATTCGTGCTGAAATCCTCGATGATTTTCTTGTTTCCTTCGTTAACTCGTCATTCCATTAGCTTGATATATCTCAACTCTTTAACAAACAATTAATTTAAGTCTGTCGTCGCGCCACTGTGACGAATGTCTGGAATGTCAGAAATTTCCAGGAAGCAGTCAGCTGCAGTACGTTAGCAGTTTATTAACGGATTTGAATAGAATAATATTCCGACAGATTATAACAGACCTGTCCAATTTGAACTCCGGACGCAAACCCATCCAAGCCAAACGCAAAGCCATCGACGTAAAAAAATTCAATGTAAGATTTTAAGAACTATAAACTGTTGATAAGCGTTGCTTAGATGCGTATCAACTTTACAGTCCCCGAAATTTTATCCACATTGAATTTTTTTACATTGATAGTTTTACATTTTAGCTCTGGAGCTCAAATTGGACAGACCTGGATTATAGTATCCACTGCTTCCGCATTAAGCTAGTGTTCTAACAAAAATCAAGATTGCTACTTTGTATCATTTAAATAATATGTTCCATTTTAGTAATTACGAAATGATAGATTTTGCTCGGGTTCTGCATTCGATCTGTCATCTTCGTATTTCGCTAGCAAATTTTATTGTAATTTTATTGGTACTGTTGAAAAAAATTTGTATTTGCGATCATTTTATAAAATCTGTTTCTGTTTGTTTGGCTATTGATAGTCACATTTATGTATGTGTATTTTCATATGTACATAAGAGAAAAGAAAGATCGATATGTAAAAATACATAATTTCTAACGTAAATATATCATTTACATTAATTCTATTAATAATAGATAAATAAATAGCCAAATTTTTTTTATAGCCAAATGTCTACACAAAAAAAAAAATTTTATATGTTTTAATGTTAAGATTGAGCCGATTTCTCCTCATAATTGATCATGACTTAATTACAGGATGAACATAATTTTATTTTGCACAGATTGATGAAAACATGACATTTTATTTAACTTATACATAGTTATTATTGATTTTCTATTGTTGTTCGGCCTTATGTCCGAATTAAGATTTTCGAGCGATTTAATGACTTAATATTTATAACTGCTTTTATATTTTTAACTGCTGTTCGAATTACGTACCGTACAAAATAATTAGTCTTTGTTAACATTAACTTGATAGAGGTTAAAAAAAACCATCTATTCATCAAATTTTTCATGTAAAATGTGTAGCAATAAGCATTTAACTTGGCTCATAATTTACCATTATAAATTTAATTTTTAAATAAATAAATATAAATAAGTGTAAATAAGTATAAAATATAAATATACATTTCGTTACATATATCTATAGATACGTTATGCAGCTCGATTTATATCAAAATTACTCGATTTATATCAAAGATATTATGAAACTAACCACTCAGTTATTCCGTTCTTCAGAAGAATAGCTATGATTGGCTAATTTTGTAACATCAATGTTATAACTTCGGCGTAAATCGAGCAGTGTAAACGTATAAGTCATAGTCTACTTATTCTTCTTGAAAAAAGCATGTAACGCACATTTAGTGACTGGGAGATTATTAATCTCGAAAATAGATCTAATTGATAATAAATATTTCGAAATCGTAAGAACTACAACGAAGCACTAATTTATTTCATAAAGTTTCTTAGGTATCATATTTAACTAACTTGAATATTGTTACAATTATTAACAAATAAAACTGACTGCAGAAGTGTATCGAGAATCAATTTTCGTATCAATTATCGCCAGAATTCCAATCTCGCGATGCGGCATGAATCGCAATAAACAATTAAGCACGAAAAGAGTTGTTGTATAAAGTACATTGACACATATATATCTAGAATTAGAGTTCTAAAAATAAACTTTTCTTTCTCTTCATTTTTTTCTCTGAATTAAAGACGAGGTCGCTCGCAATGAAAAGACAAGGCAATGGAAATAACAATATAACTTAAACACAAACGTTTCTCATCTTGTGTGTGTCAAAACATGGATACATAATGTCAGCGCATACTTTACAGCACCAGAAAACTTAGGGAAAGTTTGCATTGCTATTCTACTAAAGTCGGGTGCATGTTTTTCTCAACGGAGAACCGCATGGGGCCTTATCACGGTCGTTCCTTTCGGTTTGTGGTAGAGATACTTTTTCCTGGAAACGTTTTACGATCGGACATTGTCATTGTGTTCGCGCTTGGTGAGCATGCTTCGTCATTCTTACAAAATTTGTATAGAAAGACACCCCTTAATTTTTCCTGAATTCTTGAATGGCAATGAATTAGGTAAGCAATTAAAAAATTCTATAAAGAGAAACAAATAATGTTGTGTAATTCAAAAGTAGGTATATGCTCGTTTCCACCAATGTAAACTAACTTTATCTCAGCTCAACTTACTCTTCGTCTGTTTCTTTCTAATTCTAAAGATTAGAAAAAGAATAAGTTGAACTGAGATTAAAGTTAATCTATGTAGAAATGGACAATAGTCATCGCAGGTAAAACTGACCAAGTAAATTTAAAAGGCCTTCTACAATAAACCTTTAATCATAAATCACAAGCTAAAAAATTGACCAATCAATTTTTAACTTCTGATTTATGACTAATAGCTTATTGTAGAAGGTCGCATACAATGTATGTTTTCAAAACTTTGCTTTCTCATCAGTAATTAGTTCCAGCCCTATAGAATTTGATAAAGGTAGTTTCCCCTCCTCCCGGCTAGTAAAATATCTCTGCGCCATAGATTCCTGG